GCTTTTGTGTACTCACCCAGAGAGAAAGACAAAGAATCAATCACAAGTCCACACAAATCTGACTAACTCCAAAGTCCATGCGTTCCCTCGGGATTGCCCTACCCTTTTCCACAGAAGACATGATGGCTCCTGTCTACTGGACATTATCTGAATGGGGAGAAGGACAGGCAGGAAGTCAGCTGGAGGAAGGCTCCATGCCTCCTTTGTAAGTTTTGGTTACTGCTGTAGTTTGGCTATCAAGTCCCCCTCAGAGTCCATGTGTCCTTGGTCCTTGGTCCATTGGGAAGTGGCCGAAGCTTAAGAGTTGGGGCCTACAAGAATGATGTTAGACATTGAGGGTGTCCCCTGGAAGGGGATATTGGGACGCTGGTGCCTTCCCATGTCTCCCTTTCTACTTTCAAGCTGCATGAGGTGAACACCTTCTTCCGCTACTTCTACTGAGCTCTGTTGCTTCACCACAGAACCAAAGGCAATGGGGTCAAACTTCTTAACACGTGAACAAAACAACGACGCTCCCTCCCCCCCCAAAAGCGTGTTATCTCAGGTACTTTGTCTTAGTACTGCAAAGCTGACTCACAAAGGTGTCTACTAACAGATGAGTGCATAAAGCAAGTGCCACATATAGGGACAATGGAATGTTACCCCCTGTACAAAACCTTGAGTAGAACTGGACGCTGTTATGCTGAGAAAATCGGATTTCGCATAAAAAGACGAACACCACACACTCCCATTTCTACTTGAAATTGAAAAGTTGATATCAGAGAAATAGATGGTTTAATAGCAGCTGCCAGAGCCTGGGAACGACTTTCCATTGCCAGGGTGTGGGGGAAGGAGGTGTGGAGGAAGCAGGATGACTAGGTACAGGGCTGCAATTGGATAAGAGGAAGCGTCCCTAGCATGTTAGGATAAGTATGGTTGACAGCAATTAGGTGTCATTCGATGTTGAATGTTCCAAAGCAGCTGGTCAAGACAATGCTGCACATGCCTAACCCAAAGAAATGGCAAGTACCTGCAGTGATAGACATACAAATCATCCCCATATGATCATACATAATACATATGTGTATTTAAATATTATTCTGTATCCCAAAAATATGTGCACTTACTGTGTGACAATTAAAACATATTTTCAAAGGAAAAGAAAAGGTCCAGAGAGCTGGCTCCGAGCACTGTCTGCTCTTCCAGAGGACCTAGGTTGGTTTCCCAGCACTCACACAGCAGCTCACACCAGTCTGTAACTCCAGTTCTGAGGGATCCAACTCCCTCTTCTGGCCTCATGTGGTGCACAGACATACATGCAAGCAAAACACTGATACACATAAATAATAATAATTTTTGAGACGGGTTTCTCTGTGTAGTCCTGGATGTTCTGGAACTCATTCTGTAAAACA